AGAACTTTGTCTTACAAAATAAGGGTGCGTCTTATACACCGGTGCGTCTTATATTCCGGTGCGTCTTATACACCGAAAAATACGGTAGCTACGAACAGCTGTCTTTAAATATTAGGTAATGATTATTCCTTTCTAGTTGCAAGCCTGATCACAGGAAAGCTAGAAAAGTCAATACAATTAACGCATGATTCAAATCAAAGAATATATTTCTTTTAAGAACCTTGAGAAAATAATCACATAAAGCTGAGAAAGTCTTAGTTTTAAAACATAAAGATGAGCAATATATTTATAAAATATAATGAATGCATATGGAAATTGATAATTCAAAGTTTCAAAAATGCCAACAATTAATTAGCCAGCTATGTAAATGTTTCATACTGCTACAAGGAGGAAACATTTTTAACGCTGCTACAAGGAGCGAAATTCTTTACGTTGCTACAAGGAGGAAACATTTTTTACGCTGCTACAAGGAGCGAAATGTTTTACGTTGCTATAAGGGGGAAACATTTTTTACGCTGCTACAAGAAGCGAAATGTTTTACGTTGCTATAAGGAGGAAACATTTTTTACGCTGCTACAAGAAGCGAAATGTTTTACGTTGCTATAAGGAGGAAACATTTTTTACGCTGCTACAAGAAGCGAAATGTTTTACGTTGCTATAAGGAGGAAACATTTTTTACGCTGCTACAAGAAGCGAAATGTTTTACGTTGCTATAAGGAGGAAACATTTTTTACGCTGCTACAAGAAGCGAAATGTTTTACGTCGCTATAAGGGGAAACATTTTTTACACTGCTACAAGAAGGAAAAATGTTTTACGAGGCATAAAGATAAGAAAAGCTTTACTTGTTTGTTTGTTGTAGTTAAGCGCAAAGCTACACAGTGGGTTATCTGTAATGTGCCTACCACGGGTATTAAAACCCGGTTTTTATCGTTATTACTTTTCAGACTTGCCGCCGAGCAAGTGGGGAGGGGAGCATAAGAAAAGACATAATCAAAACGCTGTAGCTGTGATGGTAAAATAAAGGTTATCGTTTGTTTATAGTTAAACAATGAGAATCTTTGCGGAGTGTTTTAACACTAATTATTGAAAGGGAATGAAGAAAATGTAACATGCAAGAAAATGGGGATTTTGCACTGTACTAACCCTACTTTACGAGATTCAAAGCCACACGTAATCAATACCTTCAAATTAATAGGGACGGCTAGCGCAGATAGCCCTCGTGTAGCTTTGCGCGAAATAAAAAAAACAAACAATCAAATTAATAATACCCAATCACAACATTATACGTTCCGACTCTTTACGAAGCAACAGACGACGTTTTATAGTATATCTGATAGATAACACGTGATATGTACATTTTTTCTTCATGATTTAGATTCCATCTGAAATCTCATTAAAAAAAAAATTATACACGGCCATTTTGTTTCCATTTGAATTCATTTCAAAAGTTTTGTATTTATGTGTACCAAGGGTTTGCAATTTATCTCCTGTTGGAGTTTACTCTCAGAGTTCTACCGCCTACAGGCCCGGCATGGCCAGGTGGTTAGGGCACTCGACTCGCAATCTAAGGGTTGCGGGTTCGAATCCCCGTCACACCAAACATGCTCGCCCTTTCAG